CCCCAAAACCCCAAAACCCCAAAACCCCAAAACCCCACAGGCACGAAATATGATTGAAATAAAAAAATTAGAGAGGATTTGATTTTGGAAATGGGAGTTTAGCAGGAGGCGTAAGGGTAAAGAACTTATGGGATGGAGAAGATATGAATGATGAGTGTAAAAATTTGATATAGAGTAATTATTTTGGAATTTTACTGAGTCTAAGATTTCCACGTCTTTTGGCATCGATTGTAACTTTTCTCTTCAATGGTAGAGCTTTCGAGTCTCATTCTAGTTCGTCTTTGTTAATTCCTAGCTTCATTCACTTGGATAAGGGAAGCTTGGACTTGAGTTCTTGAGATATATGGGGGGTTTTGGAGTAGTCACTACTTACTCCTCCATATCCATTAGAAAATTGGGTAGAAGCGCTTGAATTTTCATACACTGTATCAGATCTTTTGTAGAATCCGTCTGTTTTAGTGTGAGGGAATAAATAATTCTCATTAGGCGGGAGATTTGAATTACCTCTTTTGAGGTGAAGATTATGGCTTCCAGATTTCTTTGTTAATGGCTTCAATACATGAACTTTCCTAAATTCTCCTTTCAAGTTTTTGTCATTCTTGTTATAAAATTTGTTCACTCTTGAGAAATTAGTATTTTTGTCTTTGATATGTATATGTGTCATTTTATTCTTCTTTCTGAGCTCATTATCTCCAGAAAGAGCATTCCTGATTGGTCTCTTGGGCTTGTTAATTATTTTTCATACTAAGATGACTTTTCCCTCCTGTTTTTATAATTAGATCCAACCTGCAAGCTTGTGTCTCTTAATTTGTTCTTAAAACTAGAAGAAAACTTTGGTGAAGTATAGTGATAGGGCTTCTCATCATCTTGCATATCCTCATCGCTAGAGTATTCCTTGTACCTATAATTCTTAGGAGTCTGTTACTTACAATAAATCTCCTCTGAGATCTTTGTTCATGTTTCTATTCATAACAACGACTTCACCTGCATCATTTAAAAATTTATTTCCTCTTAAGGCAGCTTTCCTAGCTAAATACTCTTTTCTTTTCCTCTTTTCATCCTCTTGGTCTTGAATTTCTTTCACCTTTTTCTGAAGTTCTTCTTCAGAGAACTCGAACCAAGGCATGCGGAAAATTTTGGAGATGCTCAGACGTTCTTCAGGCTTCTTGCAGAGCAGACTTTTGAGCACTTCCTTTAGCTCTTCAGTAATGATCACTTTGGAAGAGAATTTCAGTGTTTCCTTTGATAAATTTTCATGGTTGGCTCCTCCATTCCTATCAAAAGGATACTTGTTGAAAATCATAGAGTAGAGGATCACTCCAATAGACCAGAGATCACATAGCTTCTTGTCTTTCACCTTCTTCAATCTGAATGACTCTGGAGCTCAGAATTGCTGAGTATCATTTGCAGGTGAGAAAATGCCTGAATATTCACAATTTTGGCATTGAAAATTAGTTATCTACTAGTTAGAGTTCGATCAGATACCTTTAAAGTGATTCCATAGAAGTCATTTAAGTGTTCATTCTTAGGCTCATGTTTTTCATCTTCGTCTCTATAAATATTTTCCTAAAATTACTTTGAGTCATCATTGTCGGAAGCAAATTCATCTGAGAATTGGAAATGATCATATGACTCGGATAATAAAATATTTTTATTTGATAAATTTCCATGAACGATTCCTTTCTGATGGCAGTAGCTAATTCACTGTAAGAGCTGGAGGATCAAAAACCTTGCTTCAATCTCTCTTAATCCTTTACCCCAAGTATTCTGGAGGTAATCTGACAAGTTCCTATCACCTGCATATTCAGTTATGATCCATGCTTCGTCCCTTGTTTTTATTAGGTTGTTTATCCTATAAATTTAGATATCTGGAAAACTTACTTGATAATATTCCGATGCTCTAGCATTTTGAGTGGATAGATCTTATCGAACATCTCATCAATGAATTTGTCAATATCTCCATGAAAATCGTTAAAAGGAATAATTTTTAGAACGTTATAATCCTTAGTTCCTATTTTATTTAATTTAAAAACCGTTCCAGAAAGGCCGACTTGACACACTTTTATGTACTGATCTAGTATCTGAGCGAAGTTGAACTCCTGTCCAATAAGATCGAGGTAGAATATGTCCTGGCTTCTTATATAGTTTACGTCACTATCAGTCACAAGGATACCATCCTTAGAATATAGTTTCATTTTTAAGACAAGTCGATCAGATTAATAGCCCTATTGATTGACTCTATTCCTTCACAGATAACTCTAATGAGTTCTGAAGTAGTACAGTTTTTCTATACAGAAGGGTTATTTATGTCCAGTTAAGACCCTGTTGTGCTATAAAATACCAAAAGAAGTTCAATAGATCTTAAGCTAAGAAATACAATTTCTCCTCAAGATTACTGTATCATTGCTATATTCGATGACAAGTTGATATACTTTTAGGAAATGATCTAACCATCATTCCTAGTTAGATGACAGATTAAAGGAAATGCTCAAAACTCTTAGAAAAGTAGGTGAGTTGTATTTTCGCTGCTTTATGGCTGTCAGGACAGTAATCTGTACACGTTGGCTATTATAACTTAGAATTTTCGTAAATAGTTGGACCATCCTAACCTAGTGCTCTATTATAGCCTACTCTATTTGAATCTAATTCTGTGTTCTTCTCTCTCACCCAATACTACGAAGTTTGGGCTGTTATCATTTATCCGGCATAAGATCTATATTTCCAAAGGTAAGTACCAATTTTTAAATAGTCAAGTAAGCTCAAAACTTTATTAAGAAGACAGTCAAGAATAAAACACACAAAGAGATACTTGGCGGCTATACTTAAGACTTATTTCCAAAACGTCTATAAAGGTATATAGAATTTTATTCAACCTGGGATCAATAAATATCGGTAATTTCTAAAATAACACATATTTTAAATCCTATATATCTCCATTCCAAGATTAATCAAGCTGCTTGAAGCTGATTTGTACCTCAACAGAGTCCATTGGGATTCAGAGATCATCTTCTTCTGAAAACAAATTCATCATTTTTATTATATCAATTATTCTATGTTTATTTGATATTAAGGGGTTTTGGGGTTTTGGGGTTTTGGGGTTTTGGGG